ATATTTTTAATTTTTATTGTTAAAGTTTTTGTAGAAAAAATTGTATTTTGATAGAATATTTATGAAAAAACATACATGTTATTATATTTTTAATGCAAAACTGTATTATATTTTTAATGTAGTTTTGTATTAAAAATGTATTTTCAATTTTTAAAATTTTGAATGCAAAAAATACATGTTGTTAAATTGTATTATCGTGAGGAATTAAAGTGATTATCATTGTAAAAAAATCGTGGCATGCATGACAATTATATTATCTTGCATTTTTTCAATTTTATTATTAAAATTTTAATGCAAAAAATGTATGTTCTTGATAATTGAGTTGTAGCCATGTTTGGAGCTTTCATTTTGTATTATATTATCCTTTATATTTGTAATTGATATGTACGAAAATATTATTGTCAATAGAGGTATTTTTGCAATAACAAACAACAACAAATAACCAGCGTTACCGAGAAGAAAAACGACGTCGTCTATCATTTTATTTTTAGATCGTATGTTACTAATTGTATGCTTTATTGTAGTCCATGTATGTTAATATACTTATTCCATGATAATTCTATGTTTATCCGTGTGATGTAAATTAAATGGCAAATAGTAGTTCATGCAGGGAAAGAACATATCAATATTCGCATATTCATACAAATAAATGAAAATTCTTAATGGAGTAATAATTTTTTCAGATTTTTTTGAAGTTTTAATATGACTGATTCAGTCGATTCTCCATTTGGATCACCGATTCGCCAATCCAAATTGATTTGAGGTGCCCGATCCGGATCATCGATCCGCTTTTTAAACCATTGGGTACACCTCTAAAATTGTCCCGTTAACGGCCTTTGGACTATTTGTTAAAACTTTATTTTTGAACAAAATAACACTTTACGAAATGGTAGGAATTTTGAGCTTTATCTTACTTTTTGTTCTAATGCTTGTTCCGTTTTGAAGTTACCAAAAAGACAAAGTGTACAAAGCCACGTGGCTCTGTTTTTATGCCCCTTGACCACCTGGCCCCTAGAGCCTTCACAGGAGCAAAACCCAAAAATATATTTTATATGTCAACAAAATCAGAGATTTGGTGCTAGAGAAGGAGTATACTATTCATTGATTCCATCTTGTACCACTCAAAGCAGTAGTTTTAGGAATCCTATTTTTGGGTTGTAGCTTCTTCAATCTTCAAGAAAACAAAAAGAATTTAAAAGATGTGCTCTGCATGCCTAAAAGAAAAATAAATCATATGTTGAACATGGGGTCTCCAATTTGGAGGATGATAACTAAGATCTCCACATCAAAAGTTTTTGAAATTGTTCATATGGTAATAATTAGCTGGATTTCAATATTTGGGACTGAAGAAGTACTCCAAAAGGAGCATTTTGCCCGAGGGACTAAATATATAGTACAGCTCCCATGAAAGCACAATCCTTTTATATTTTTTTTTGTAGGATAGATTATTTTCTTCTTTTTTTTTCATTTTAAAAGCATTAAATGTGGGATGGGCCTGGGGAACATCCCCATGCTGCGTTTTACATTGCTACCGACATCACCCCATCATTAACTTCTAAACCACTTGAAAAAGAGTGCCTTTTGTATAGAGTGGATGCTCTAAACAAAGTAAAGTACACCTTTTGTTGGGAAATGTAGTTTGCATTTCATAAATCTTTGTAATAACTTTAAAATATATTTTTATTTTTAATTATAATGTTTAAAGTTTAAAAAATAGTGTTGATTAAGCAGATATATGAAACTTAAAAATCTTAAAAAATTATGATCTAAAATTGTACTATAAAATATATTATTTTTAAAATTTAAAATTTATTTATTTATGTTTTCATGTCCATACATCTTGATGTCAAGATTATCAATTTAAAGATGTTTGGACATCAAAACAACATTTTCTAGTGAAGTTTTTGAAATGCCTTCTAATTTGATTGTTTAGAGCTTGGGGGTATAAACTTTTGAAAAAACGGGTAAGGCCCATCGTCCCAATGAATTACCTTAAAAAATAAAAATAAAAAAAGCATTAAATCAGCATAGTGAAGCAGAGGGTCTACCCCGCAAATGACATTTTCACCAAAAACTTTCAACCTTCTCGAAAGGTGGCCTAAAGTCCATGGCTTGTCATATAAGCCATTTGCCCTTATGAGAGAGAAAAGAATATTTAATAGCCGCAAACGTTAGTATGCTCCATTAAAGAAAAATGAACATTTCGTCGATCAATAGTTTGTAATATATATATATATATATATATATATGATGTGGTTTGCATGAGGTTGTAAATTGTAAATAATCAAGTAAAACGTGGCTCCAAAATTTATCATAAGTAAAAAAAAATAGAATAATTTTAAAAACTATTTTTATTTTTAATTATAAAATTTCCATACATCTTGAGATAATCAATTAGGAAGTTTCTTAAAAAACATTCCTTTGGGATGCACCTTAATTCTACAACTTTAAATTGCCACCTTATGCAAACTTTATCCATCCTAATAATAATATTCAATCAATTGATAATGATTATAAAACTTCACGTTATTTCTCGTGGGAAACAAGAAAGGAATCTTGAACTTTGAAATTTCGTGCTGGTGATTTTTTCTCATAGAGTATTTGGGTAAAAGCATAAAAAAGTCCAACTAGAGTGTAAAATGATTCTCACCAGATGTAACAATCAAATCAAGCCAAAACCCAGTTAGATTCCTTGTGTGCTTAATATTCAAATTCTTCAGGACCACATAAAAAAAAGAAAGTATACAATACGATCATTTATTTTTGGTATGACGTATTCACAATTAATTTAGATCATTGGTTGTGAAATTGGATGGTTGCATCTTTTTCATTGACCAAACACAAACTTCAATTTTTTTTTTAACATTATGGCACATCCAAGCTTTCTGATTTCACATTAAATGGCTATAAATAATTGTGACGTCATTGTAACAAAGATAAGTGATCTGATTGTATATAATCCCCATAAATAAAAGAAGAAAAGTGATTTATATAAGGATCCTAAGTTTTTTTCTAAAATACGAAATGCTCTGTTTATAGGTAGAAATTACAACGAAGGTCGGTCAAATTTTTTTTTTTTTTTAGCATTTTTAAAATTTCTTTTTAATCTGAGAATAGAATCCTCGATCTAAATTTTAATTTTTTTTTAGTTTTTTCGTAAGTAGGGCAATGCCCCAAGCTTTAAGCTAAGTACCCTACTAAAGAAAAAACTTAAAATTCAATCCAAGGATGTCTTCAAACCGAGAGGCAACTTTTTTTAAAATAGAACATTTTATATTTTAAAAAAAAATTTAGGAAAAATATCTCCATATCCTCTATTTTTAAGTTTCATATCTCCATACATCAACGGTTTAAAAACAAATCTTGGCCATAAAAATCCTATGTTTTATGTCGTTTAACCTCTTAGACTAACTTTACTATCATTAATCTTATTTTTCTAACCCAAATTTTTTTTAGAATGACGACATTTTCTGAACACATCCTTTCTCTAATTTTAGAGAGGGAGATCAATGAGAGAAAATAATGGCAATGGTAGTATAGTGATTTTATATACTTTACTTTTTTTTTTTTTTTTAGAGAGGGAGATCAATGAGGGAAATTAATGGCAATGGTGGCATAGTGATTTTATGCACTTTACTTTTTGTTTAGAGAGGGAGATCAATGAGAGAAATTAATGGCAATGGTGGTATAGTGATTTTATGTACTTTGTTTTAGAGAGGAGATCAATGGCAATGGCGGTATAGTGATTTTATGCACTTTACTTTTTTTTTTTTAGAGAGGGAGATCAATGAGAGAAATCAATGGCAATGGTGGTATAGTGATTTTATGCACTTTGTTTTAGAGAGGAGATCAATGCCAATGGTGGTATAGTGATTTTATGCACTTTGTTTTAGAGAGGAGATCAATGGCAATGGCGGTATAGTGATTTTATGCACTTTACGTTTTTTTTTTTTAGAGAGGGAGATCAATGAGAAAAATTAATGGCAATGGTGGTATAGGGATTTTATGCAATTTGTTTTAGAGAGGAGATCAATGGCAATGGTGGTATAGTGATTTTATGAAATTTTTTTTTAGAGAGAGATCAATGACAATGATGATACAGTGATCCTATGCACTTTCTAGACAATTAGAGAGGAGAGAGAAGAGGAGGTGGAGGTCATGCATCTAATAAACTTATTTTAGAGAAAGAGGTAGTATGGAAAGAGAAAGGGCTTGGAGAGAGAAAAAGAGAAAGAAGTTTGAAAAGTGCATGTGAAGACAGATAGGATGGATTTAAAAAGAGTTATCATTCTATAATTCATTTGGATTAAAAAATATGATTAAAAAGAGTAAAATTAATCTAAGAACTTAAAAGATGTAAAATGATTTTTGTGGCCCGTTTTTAAAACGTAGGTGGAGATATTATCCTTAAAATTAAAGAATATTGGGATACTTTCCAAAAAATTTAAAGGTCAAAGAAGAAACCAACCTCAAAAGCCGATAATATTAAACGGATTGAAAATTTCATTTCACAAGAAAGACACTCTTCACAATATTTAGGCCCCAAACCCAAGAACCAGGCTTATAAAACCTCGCCTATCAAACCAAAAATGGCACTTCTTTCTCTGAGAAAACTCTATTCAATCGAACACAGTCAATGCCCAAAACTCAGGGGCCACCGGGAAACCGGTCTTCGAAACCCAATAGTGGTTTCTGGTTTTCCAGCCATAGGCTCTGGTTTGTTGTCTTCTCTTCCACTCTGCTTCTTTTCTCTCTTTTATTTGGTTTCAAAGTGATTTTTCATAGAGCAAACGTCCTTGGAAGACAGTGCTTAAGGCCAATTGCAGGTGGGTTTTTCCCTACTTCGAGAATCGCCATGGTTAGTAGCTCTGATGAATCCAAGAGAAATGGCTTTAGGTCTTTTGAAGGTTTAATGGCGATGGTTTTGCCAAATAAGGAAAGTTATGCAGAGAAGTTTGGGTATGATTTCAGTGATTGCAGCGAAATGATCGACAGAAGCAGGCCACCAAGCTGGAGTAAAATTCTCGCTGTAAAAGCCCATCTTCACAACTATGACTGGATTTTCTGGAACGATGCAGTAAATATCACAAAACCCAGTTTATATTTGGGTAGATTAAGGGAGGTTCTTGAAGTTCTGGTTTTGTGCAACAGCACAAGATTTGTTTCTTACTTCTCACTGCTCTTTTTCAGAACTTGTGTGCCTTTTAATAACTGATTGTGACCTGTGATTTTCTATAACTTATTCTAATGAAGCTAAACATCTTCATTTCCAGTTTTTAATACAAACTCACAATTTTCATTTTCATAAATTGAATAGGGGCTGTGGTGTTTCCTAATGGTTCTTTTATAAAATAGTTCTTGTAAACTTTAAAATTTAATCAACTGTTGCTTTTTAATTGCTCTTCTCTAAAACCCATCAAGCCCATCAACCTCTTTTAAACTTTAAAATTCAAACTGTTGCTTTTTAATGGTTCTTCTCTAAAACCCATCAAGCCCATTAACCTCTTTTAAACTCTACAATTCAAATTGTTGCTTTTTAATGGCTCTTCTCTAAAGCCCATCAACGTCTTTTAAACTTTAAAATTCAAACTGTTGCTTTTTAATTGCTCTTCTCTAAAACCCATCAAGCCTGTCAACCACTTTTAAGGTTGCAGCTTCCATTTTTAATAATATATGGACTGGTTCTTATGCTTTCTACTTAGTGTCTTTTTTCTAAGCCCAACAATCAACTCAACTTAAGGAGGTTTTGATACTCATGCTATTTGTTTCAGGACTCTCTGATAACCAATTCAAATGTTTCTCTAGTAAGATTTCTCCACTACTCCATTTATTTATTTATATTATTATTTATTGTCATTTCTTTTTTATTTTCTTTTCATTAATTACTAATTTAATTATTAACATCCAGGAGCAGGTTTTGTATTCTGTGATAGGGGATTCAGAGGTGCAGGAGTGGCCTGATTTAATCCTCACAAAGGATGCAACGGGTGTAAACGCAGGTATAACCTGATTTGTTTATTTGAAATTGTGGATTAATGTTTTCGGCTTGCCAAAATTTCGTCCTAAACGTCATTTTCCTAAGAACTCTCGCACAAAATTATCGGGGAAAAAAAAAAGAAACTTCGGTTGGAGTTTTCGAGATTAATGGTTTTCTCTAACTAGAAAGGACGAAAGGGAAAGGTGGGGCTCCATTTCTCAAAATTTTAGGTCAATTTTATGCACAAAAAAAAAAAAAGGTGTCATTTTATTGTTTTGTTAATTTCTTTTGAATATTCAAATTTGGAAATTTCGGTTTAAGCTTGGGTTGATGGCCATGGGCTCGACAACATCGGCCCATGGGTCCTCTGAATGGCTGAGTAGGGTTGGGACTGGGCCTGGTTTGCTAGGCACAGCCGGAAAAACTAGGCCCCGGCCACTACACGTCGCTCGAGAATTGTGCCACCTTTACCTAGGCCACAGGGCAAGCCCTGCTTGGCTGGGACTGGGCCGACCCTGTATTTACCTTTTCTTTTTAGGGCCTGACTGAGCCCCTTTTAGACCCGGGGTGGCTATAAGCAGGCCCGGCTCACAGCCGGGCATGGCGTGCCTTTTTGCCAGCTCTAAAAAGTGTACAGATTCTCATAATTTGTTGAGTGTTCTACACGTATTATTGTATCTTATAATAGGAAAATTATTTCATGAGGGTTGGATCGCATTTCTACAATTTGTAACCTAAAGTATAAAGCATCCATCTTGAAACAATTGAAACTAATGGTTCAAATGTTTTTTTAATAGATTGTTGTTATTATTGTTATTATTTTTTTCATATTGATGATCTCCGTATTAGATATTACTTGTCTTTAAAAATTAAGTCCAAAAATCCGCCTGGGAAATACATTTTTAAGAGATGATCCATTTCTACATGGAATCATAGAAACCGTGTCCTTTATAACATGCTAGTTTCAACTTTACCTGTTAAACAAGTCATGCCCCTTGGATGACACAATAAACAATAAAGTGACTGTGCTAATTGAATTTTTTTTGTGTGCCATCATCTCTATTCTTTCAAGTCGGGTAAGTCAAGATTTGAACCCATGATCTAATACGCTTTGTTTCTTTACCATTAAGTAACTCTAGTCCAATAAAGGCAAGGATCTTAAGCTTTCTGTTAACGCGTTTCAAGCTTGGGTAAAGGAGGTAGGTTGTATTGGGCAGGTAGTGAGTTGAAAATTTTACAATATCTTATCATGAATTCTGAACCTATGTTACATAGATCTTGATAGACAAGAATCTCTAGTCGATCCTAAATGGTTGAGATAAATCTCGGATGATGATGATGTTTATGAGGTCAATTTTTGACTCATAAGTTGGCCAGTTTTTTGTTGTAGAAATGTTAGTATAAGACTAGTACTAGACGAATCCTATTATCTTGATTTGGTAGCGTGTTGATGATATGCTACACAACATCTCAAGTTTGAATCCTACAATTGAGAAATAAAAACCTTCATGCTTTATGATGATTTCATAAGGCGATGTCCATGTTGGCTTAGAAGTTAGCCACCATTAGGCCTAAACAAGATGGAATTTAAACGTGAGCGGCTCTTTCCATAGTTTTTGAGAATGGTGGTCTGATTGGTTGGCATGTTGAGTAATGCCTTGAGCAACTTGGTCTAAAAGAAAATTCATTTTCGTTGGTCAGAGTAATAAGTTTTGCCTAGTTGAATTGGCTATACATAGTTGAAATTTTTTTTGGTAATATATTAAAGATAAGGATTTTTGTTCTTTCTTTTATTTTTGAAGAACTAGTCCAACAGGTTTGGCTATACCTTTTGCTAATCTTAGACTAGATCCCTTACCGATCTCGGCAATATTCTTTCCTCTACATAGTAAGTTATGTTGTACCCCTTACCGATCTCGGCAATATTCTTCCTCTACATAGTAAGTTATTTTGGATGTCAAATGATTAGGGTTAGTGATGGTTTATTTTGTATTTTGGATGAAGGTGATTCCCATCTTGCCTGTACAAACTGTGTGCAAAAGAGAGGAGCTTTATGATCATCATGGCATCACATGATTCATGTGTTTTACAATAGCCTTTCTTTGGCTTCGTTCTTGGACCATAGTAGAAGAAAGTATTCCTTTTCGTCAATATGCCATGCGGGGCTAAAAAACCCACCAGTTATCTCTCTTGATAAAGACAAAGCAAAAAATGGGACATCTCTCTTTGAGCACATGACTCTTACTGATGATTAACCCGCCCATGAATGAAAATTTGGGAAAAGTTTATATAAGGTGTCAACTTTATACTGTATAAAAAGGGTGCACCCAAAAAAATCCATTTAGAAGGTTGTAAAGCCCATAAATCGATCATCTCAATCTCGAGATTCATAAGATATGAAAAAAAAAAGGGTGATTTTTGTCCTACAAATAATTCATCTTCTAACACACTATCTGGACCCTCTATTTTCAAGATTTTCAAATGTTCACAGATCTGCATGATCATGCTCATTTTTGGAACTTATAAATTTCATAATTGGGGGTAACAATAAATTTTCATATCCTCGTAGGACTACGCAGCACCAAAATTGCATTTCCGGCATAGTTTTGAGTTGTACCTTAGTTCAATAGTATAAGGTTGACACCTTAGCCAAACCTCACCCATGAAAGGTCAAACATGGTGTGAGCATTGTGGCATTTTGGTTATGTATCTGAAAACTCGCATCTTGTGTGATTGTACAGCTTTTTACAAGACGACAGTAGCATAAGCTAGGCACACAAAGTTGTCAGGAGACTGCTAACAAACGACTAGCATGCCCTAGAGGTTGGGTTGCTTTATGTTTCAAGTTTGACCTAGGGTTAAAGGACCTCAATAGTAGGTTGGAAATTTTGGTTCAAAAGCTCTCTACTTTTGTTTCATCCAGTCCGACTTGAGCGATTCTCAAGTATGATTGTTGTACAAATACATAGAAATGTTAAATGAAAAAAATAGGAAAATCGGGTCATTCCGGTGTTCCCCACCCACCTAACGATTCTGAGTAAGCTCAAGCAATTTTTATAACACTTTTGTAAAAATAATTAACGAAAGTGACAGTCAAGTTCGTTCCGAAGCATAAGGCCAAAGGACCATATTTGAAAAATCAAATATTATGGTCGTTATATGGAACGAAAACGTACTTATATAATATCTTTCTTTCAGGGATTTTTTTTGTGCGAAACTCAAATTGGAGCCAAGAGTTTCTAGACACATGGTGGAATCAGAAAGAGTTCATCCGGAAATTCGGATCTACGAAGAGTGGTGACAATGATGCTTTAAAGCATCTCATAAGCCACTTATCTCCCCAAGAGCTACAAAAACATGTTAGAGTGTCTAAAATGCAATGCTTGTTTAACTCTTACCCTTGGTTTCCTTCATGGAAAACAGCTTTCAGACTTATTACTTCCCCTAAAACTACTTGGCAAGGTAAGCATCATCTATACATATGTGTTGTTTTTTTATTTTTTATGAACTGTAACTTAAATACATACAGATTGATCTACTATACACATACTTCATTTACTTAATTTTTGAATGGATTTGCAACAGTGAAAATTAACTATGTGTTATCCCATTTTGTCACTATAAATTTCATGGATTATCATGTATTTAACATTACCTCATTCTTGAATTTGCAGGTTCATACTCCGAAGGAGATTTTATGGTTCATTTAGCAGGCTTGGATGATAAGAAACGATGGGCGCGTAAGGTTCTTCGAGAGATACAAATGAGTTCTAAAGGATAATGCTTCCTGTTCTGCATATTTACATTACTGTTCTTGTGGTTAGGTTAGGATTCAAGAATTATAAACATAAACTGGGGAGTCATTTAGTAATCATGTTTGGAATTGTAAATGAGAAAGCTTACACATCTTGTATTGTATTATCTAGACCCTAAAATTTCTAAGATTTTTAAGTGTTCGTGTTCCATCTACCCTATTTTTGAAAATTTGAATCTTATAATTAGAGATGAAAATAATTTTTAGGCTATCAAAAAGGTTTATGATAATGAAATAACATGTTTCGATACTATTTAAAGGTGCACCGTATTTTAATGGTTTAGAGCCTCAACTTTATACAAACCACAAGTCTAATATGACAAAATATAGAAATTTAATATGACAAAATATAGAAATTTACTTTGAATGTCCTTGCATTTTGTTGAATTTAAAAATTGATCTCAATATTTTATTTGTTTATATTCATGTACCCCTTCTTAGAGGATATGATGTATTTGGATTTTAGTATATTTTATATATCAAGTTCAAATTTTGGGTGCCCTACTTTTTACTATTATGTCACCTATAAAAACATATATATATTTTTAAATAAGTAAAGTAAATGAAATAACAAAAATAACATTTAAAGGTTTAAAAGATATTTTGGTCATTTTGTTTTTATTTTATCTTTTTTGGCTTTTTTTTGCAAATGCGTGATAGAGCAAATTATGCATGAACCTAAAATATAATTTGAGGCCCATTATATAAATTTTAAAATTATAACCGATATTTCCATGAATTTCCCTAATGCTAAGAATTTTGGGTCGCGTCAAAGAGAGTATCTATAAGAATTATTTTTTTTGTCGATCTGAATTTGTTATCTACTACCCTATGTAGGATGACATGGTTATAACAGCCTTGCAAAAAGTGTGTTAGAAACCTCATGTTTCTTCTTTTAAATGGATGCCAAATAGAAAGACTTTAGTATGAGGGGTCTAATAAAAATAAAATTCAAGAATCTTAGTTTTGAGAAAGCAACAGTACCACTCTTTGTTTTTAGTAGGCTCTAAGCTGTCAAATATGAAATTAAGTAGTTGAGGGTGTGTCATTGCTCTGTATACCTTTCTTTCAAAGGTTTTGAACCTGATTGATGGCACACCCTCATATGTCTAATGTTACATTGGACGACTAAGATAATCACGGCATTTTTTGTATTAAAGATAGACGGTTTTTTTTGCATATTTTCTCCTAAAAGAATATAATTGATTAGTTTTTGGGCTTGTTTTGTTCCCTGAAAAGAAATATTTTGAAATTTTTAAAATGAGAAAGATGATTGAGGGCTCGCAGAAAAATGTATCCTACAATATCTATAGAATTAAAACTTTTTTCTTATGTTCGTGACACGCATCGACCTTTTAACTTTAGCTTAATAATGAAGTACATATATAGCTTCTTTTCTAAAAAATGATAAAACCGGGATGATCGGAATCAAAATAATAAACAATCCCATACTCTAATAGCATGAAAGCTTGAATTAGGGGAGGATGGGTACATCAAAGATCTCATATCTATATCCAAACAATAGTCACAAATACCGTTTTTGTTAATTTCTCTTGGCAAATAATTTGTCCCTAGCTCTTTCAAATTAATTCTTCCTCAGAAAAATAATATTACAAGAAATAGGAAATCCTTACTCTTAGAAAAATGAAAACTTACAAAAAAAAAAAAAACTTTATTAAAGGTAATGCGTTGGAAAAGTATATGATATGTTGGTTTAATAATCACTGGAAACTAATATTAATGTTCATATTTCTAATTTTGTTCGTGTTGGTTAGCTAGTCTCTTTCTCACTTAAGAGCGGTGAGAAATCCAATCATCATTATCAGAGTTTTTTTCTAATTATTTGGGTATGCTTCATGAATCCTGGTTGGATATTCCGCTTTATCAAGGGTCACACTTTCGGTGAGGCTGTAAGCCGCAATATCTTTTTTTACTATTTCTAACCATGCCTTTTTAGGTCTATCCTTTCCTCTTTTTGAGCATTTCACTCAAAACAACTCGTACCTTCTAATATATGTTAAACTAGATTTGTGCTACATATGGCCAGCCTACTTAAATCTACTTTCTCTTAACAAGAAATCTACGGTAACAAAAAATATAATTACTATAGTAAAAACAACTATTATGGTGAAAAAGACTCTCGGTGAAAATCTCCTACGGCAGTGAAAAGGCTCATGAAATTGATATAGAAGATTAAGTACCACACTCAAAACAAGAACCACGGTCAAAACACAAACTACGGTCTAAACTATGGTTAGCAAGTCTCCATTGAAATCCGTCAACAACTCCGAGTTTTTTTAAAAGATCTTAAAAAAATCACGTTTTTTAATAGAACCGATATAAATCCGTATTTTATCTTTATACAAAACAATTTTCAAAAAACTTCTTCCCTATGACTTTATTTTTTCATTAACTTATATTGAATTTTGGTTTAAAGATAATACATTAATAATGGAGGTAAATTAAGAATCTTAATTTAACAAAAAAATTCTATAAAAAATTTCACCAATGAGTTCCTTGAAAAAAGTGCACAAAAAAATGCAAGCAATATATTCCCTGAAAAGGAGTAATCAAAACAATCACATACCTCAAAATAATAGGTATAATTAGATGATGAGTAACCCAATGAAATTTTTTGTTTGTTTTTTTGTCTAAGCCTCTAGCGTACTTGTGAAGAACAAGAGAGAGATTCAATAATAGTAAAGATTTAGGTAGCTAGGAATTCAATGGAAGATTCAAATTTTCTTACGAATTTTTTTGCTTTTTTTATGCATAGAGAAGTTTGAATAATTTTATTTTTTATTTTTTATTTTTTATTTCATTGGTCTATACAACATAGCATTTTGGATGGACAACTATTTTACATATTTGGATCGTTATGTTTTCTTTTAATTAACTGCAATCCTATACTGGGGGCATCTTTTTTTTTTTTGTTCATTGAAAATAATCGTATACCTTGGACACAGTTCTTATTGTTTGCTAATTATTTTTTGTATTTAGTATTGTTGTTATTGTTCCATTTTATGCTCCAATAAATCTACGATTGTTGTTGAATTTATAGCAAATTTCAACAAAAAATTGTCAAGTACTATTTTAATGACCCTAATAAGGCTGTAGAATTATTGTTTAGTGGGTTTAATATATTTAAACAATAGATGTAAATCATAATTTTATACCGTGTCATCTTTACACATCCAATTTTTTCACTCCGTATTTTTTAATCAAATCCAAAATATTCACAATTCTAAAA